GCCTGCCCCAGCCCCACTCCTTCCTTACCGCAGGGGCATTGATCTTCCCTGCCCCCCCATACCCCTTCCCTCCCCACTACCCTTCCACCATAACAGACTTACCAGCTGCATGCAGGTCTCCATGCTGTATTCAAAATCAGATCAGCTGATATGCCTCCTTGAAAACTGGCTATCAGTATTGGCCCCCAAAACCTCTGTCGGTGCATCACTACTAATTATCACATCCCATAGCTGTCTACTATTGGGATGCTAAGCACAATTGTGTGGCTGTAAATTCAAATGACTAGTAACCGAATGGTGGTGGAACTGCAGTGAATTCCATGCTTCTCTGCTACTGCACTGCTTTGGAATAGGCTCAGCAATGTCCATGGGGCAAGTATTTCTATGTAGAGACAGGCACCAGCCTCAAACTTATCACCTGGGGATTTGGGTGCAGGCTTTAGTTTGGCCCATGAGGGGAATGGACTAGCTGAAGGTTGCATCTAGGTTCAAATTCCCCAGTGTGTGTAGGGTGCCAACCGAAGGGCAAAGAGGGTTCAGTTCAGCCCACTCAGCATCCAAACTACTCAAGCCCAAATACTCCAAATCCTACTTTCTGGGCACTTCCTAAGCAATTCCCCACTCAGCACAATCCCACTCCCATCATATCATACCAGCTCCTTCCCTCCAGCTCACAACCCCCATGCTGCATCTGTTAGCTGCTACACATGCCATTCAGGATTCTTTATTAGCCCTATCCTGCAGGTATCTCCGATTCTCTGCTTCCTCTCTGCCTCACTGAGGCCCTCAAGGACAATCCCCTCTTCTGAGGCACCTGCTAGGAGTGAATAAATCAAGCAGCAAAACAGAATCTCTCTCTGCATGTGGAGTTTCAGCTACCATGTCGCTCACACCTTTGCCAATGCATTTAACAACGGCTTGTCTCCCTTACACAATGCTCAAGTTTACTTACCAGCTTACACTCCCACATGGCATCTCTTAGATTTCTGCACTTCGTATTAAGTGCCCATTTCCTGCTGGAAGCATTCTAGCCATGTATTTTTAATGCAAGCATCATTACAGCACAGGATTTACAGTGCCATGAGTCACAATATCCTGGTACCTGCCATCTATTTTGCACCAGGTTGGTCTAACTGTTGACAGACCTGGGCCGATGCATGATCAGGGAGTGGTAATCACTATCAGGTTCCCATAAACTCCACTCTGTGGTGGGCTGAGCTGGTATGCAAGAGAAAATCAGGTTGACAATCCATCAAATCAGGTGGAGCAACAGTGACAGGAACATGGGCTGCCACAATTCCCCCCCAGACTATGATGCCCCTTAGAAACGTTCAAAAACCTAATCTGATTTCCTGCCCTTCCCAGCCTCCACCAGTTCAAGGTTCACCCTGGGGTGGGTTTTATCTCCAGCCAATGGTCGGTATGCAAAGAGGAACAACCCTTGCTCCACAGCATTTGAGTCATCTAAAAGTCTTCAGACTTCTGCGTACACAATTCAAGTCCAGGTTCTCTTGTCATCTCATTCTAGTGAACTTTGCTGTGGAAACTTCCAGATGCTCTGGAATGGTTTAGACCAATTTTCCAGGTAGTTTCAGGTCAGAGAGCAGTTCTTTTGAGTGCCCAACTTTCCTATCTGGGACTTTCAGCCCCCATTGCCTTCAAGAGCATCATGGCTCTAGTAGGTTGGCCTTTCCCCAGTTCCATTAAGCATTTCCACGGCAGTTCTAAATGATAATAAAACTTAGCTTAGAAAGAAGGCCTTGATAACCTTCTCATTGGGCCACAAGCTACCCTGCAGACTGCTACAGAGCAAGCATGTGAGGATCTGAAATCCTTAGCTAGCCCAGCTCTGCATGCCAGAGCAGTTATCCCAGGAAAACCACATTGTTGCAAGTATAGTTGAATCCACACTAGAGGTGGTTTGCCAGTACAGTACACTGGTATTCCTATTCTGGTGAAGTGCTCCTAGCAGGGGCATGAAGACACTTCTGTGGTCTCCAATATCATGGGATGTGGTGTGGATCTCCCCTCACCACATCCTGAGTGGCAGGCAGAGCCATTATCCTCACAAGTAAGGACCTGAGGTAGAGAGAGACTAAAGTGACATGCCAAAAGTCAAGAACAGTCAGTGGTACAGCAGAGAAGTAAACCCCAATCTCTTGCAACCAAGGCTAGTGCCCTGTGCCATCCTTTTTTCCTACTGCCAAAGACGACAGCAGGAAATACAGCCTGGAGCTTTAATGATTGCTATGCTTGACCCCCTCAGTGGGGTTTGCTTATATCATTTCAATGGGAAGGACCTCTTCTGATGGCAAGTCTGCTCCTCTCCAGGCACTAGCAGTCTACTGGTTGTTCATCCCAAGATGCCAATCTCTTCCACAGCAGTGAGACTAGCCCTGTATGTTGAAGGTCAGACCCTTTAGGGGTTTGTCTGATGTTAGCCCTATAAGCAACACCCTACAGGCCAAATGAATCCTGCATAACACCCCAGTGAGAACGAGGGAAGACTGCAGCAGTTTCAGAGTAATCATAATAACAAAGCATTGAATCAATCATGAATGATGAACATATTCTGAACAGAATGTCTTCTCCAGCTGCTTTGCTGAGTTTTCCTTTAGTCATCACCATGGCCAGCTTCTGTTACTGAATATCAAATTTGCTCCTCCTACATACTCACTCAAAAGCAGATTTCTCTATCAAAACTTTCCATATAAAAACTGCTCAGAAGGAAGGGAAATAACTTGGTGGCTCCCAAAAAGCAACTTGAGGAGGCTGTGGCATAACCATGTCAGACACAATGCTTCCCACAAAATGGAGAACAGCATGGTTAGCTCTGGTGCCTAATGGTGACAAACACCTCAGGGAAGGGAGCTGGAGGAGTTTACTTCAAGGCATGAAAGTGCTTCAGACTCTCTGCAGACTCAGTCTTCACTGTACTTACTGTTACCCCCAGCTCTTGAGGTCAGAAGGACTAGAAACAATCTTTAACACAAAACATCAGAACTGTGATCCTGGAGCACTGTTTTGTGGAAAAAGATTGATTCCACAGCAAATTGTCCTGATGCCAATTGGCCCTACTTATGAGAAGAATTTAACGTAGTTTGCTCTAAACCATAGAGACTGGAGTCAAGTTCATGGTTCAGGCAGTGCAAGCTGCATACAAGTTAGGATGCATGTGATATTAGATAGAAGTTTTTTCAAGGCCTGCCTCCCGTGGTCTCTCTTAGTACCTGCTCCAATTCGTAAGCCTTTGCCTTGTCTTCATCACGGTCTGCATTTTTGCGATATGCCAGACCCAGTCCCCATACTGCCAGGATACTGTAGACATTATCTCGGACCCAGGCGTCTTTATGATCAGTGCTGGCTGGAAGTAATCCTGTCACTGGATCCTGTAGCAGTAAACAAAAGAATTATACAGGACCTCAGCTTTGAGCAGGGACCAGTTTGGCAATATCATTTATGACCAACAGTATAATTTTGAGAGATGTTAGACAAACTTTCAAATACCAAGGGCCTTCCTTACGACTGGGAAAAGTAGCAGCTACAAGATGGCTTATACACAATGGCTTGTGTGTAACTCCATATGTAAAGGAAAAGCAGTTACTTAAAAGGAATAGAGGAGGGCTATAAAATACAAGCAAGGAAACATTATGAGGAGCAGCTTCAAACCAAGAGAAATAGGGGTGCACCAACAGAGATTTTGGGGGCCAATACAGATAGCCAATTTTTAAGGAGGCATATTGGCTGATACCAATCCAATTTCTGATACAGCTTGGAGAGCTGCATGCAGCTGGTAAGTCCACTGTAGTGGAAGGGGAGGGGGGGAGGGAAGGGGAATGGGGGGCAAATCAACACCCCTGTGGTGAGGGAGGGAGGAGGCAAAGCCAGGGGCAGGTGCTGCTGCAGGGTGGGGGGTAAGAGAGCCACAGCTGGGGAGGAACCATGTGCCCCTGGATCTATGCGGAGCAGGGCGGGGCAGGGCAGGCTGCAGCCGGGGCTAGTCTGGGCTCTTCTTGGCTGGGGCTCGGCTCAAGGTGGGGGCTATAGAGGGGGCTGTAGCCACCCCAAATTTTACCATAGCCCCACTCCCAGCACCAATACCCACCTGGCACAGCCCCAGATCTTCCTGGCACATGCATGAAGACAGGGCTGGAGCCAGGGCTGCACCAGATGGGTGGCATCATTGGCGCTGGGAGCGAGCTATGGCAAAATCTGGGGTGGCTGCAACCACCTCCCCAAGCCCAGCCCCTGCTGACAAGAGCCTGGCACAGCCCTGGCTCCAGCCCACAGCTGCAGCCCACCCTGCACAGATGCAGGTGGCACACCCCCCCACCCCATGCCCTCCCGACATGAAAGCAGTGTTGGGAGCCTCCCGCCACCACCACTGCCCCCATAAGCCATGGCTCTGCCCTGTGCCCTCTCCACCCTGGCTGGGCCCTGCCCCCTCCCTCACCGTGGGGGGTGTTGATCTGTCCCACCCACGCTCTTTCCCTCCCCCCTCCACTTCTACCACAACAGACTTACCAGCTGCACACAGCTCTCCACGCTTCTGGGCTGTGCTCCTCACTGCCCAAGTACTGCGTTGCAGCTGCACGCACACACAAACATTTATTGGCCAAATTATCAGCCGCATCAGGCCGATTTCCAATATGGCCAATTTTCTGTATATCAGCCCAACTTATCGGTGCACCGCTAAAGAGAAGCACAGTAAAATAGATACTCTAATTAAGGGGAACAGCAAGACCACAGCCTCGGAAGAAATATAGACTTTGAGTGATGTAATAAGGTCATGAACTAAAAGGAACTAGAGACAGATAACCGAAGCAATAAAACCCTTTGGTGTTCTAAGTCAAGCTAGCCAGCATACCTCTCTGTCTAAATTATGTATTGGTCTGGACCCATTAGCCTGGTAATAGCTCAGTCTTTTAGCGTCTGGGTTTACCATAACAGCTCTTCACCCTAGGAGCCCCTCTGTCAGTGCAGGACAATGCAAGTGTCCCCATTTTACAAGAAGAAAACTGAGACACATAGACACCAGTGTCTATGGTCCACAAAAGCAACTACACATCCAAATACCCTTGAGGGTCTGAGCTGAAGTCACTTGTCCATGGTCACCAAGAAGCCTGCGATGGAAAGTGACCCTGGATTTCCCATGTCCCAAACTGGTGTCCTCGCCATGGGGCCATCCTTCCTCTGTATGGCCTCAGCTCTTTGAAGCCCAGATACCTCATTTTTGAGGAATCCACACACCCCTGAACAGTGCACCTCTAAATGGGGATAAAGTGCAATGGGATAATGACAGCTACTTTAGGAAGGAAGCCCAGGAACTCTGCACGTATCCCAGAAGCCCAGAGCTCCCCAGTTTGGGACCTTCTGCCTAAAGGATACACAGCCTGCTCTGAAAAGACTGTGCTGTGCAGGGGGTCACAGACAGCTGCCAGGTCCTAAAAGTGACCCAGGACCAGCAGTGATGTGCACATAAGGGGCTCAGAAACTCACCAAGAATGCCACAGTGCAGGACTTGGGCTCACATTCAACAGCAAAGTATCTCAGACATTCAACAGTTTAAAACAAAAATATTAGGCCCTAGCACTACCAACTGCCCCTGAAGGTCCAGGCTCTCCACACAGAGCATCTACTGAAAAGTAGGTGCATCCCCACAGAGTCATCATATGAAGAGAGGCTTCCCTGCAGTACCATGGGATGACTGCTTCTCTGCAATAATAAGAAGACCTCTCTGCTTCTGTCCCCTCCAGCTCAGCTAACCATACACCAGAAGAAGAGAAACAACTCTTTGTAGACAATGCCCTCATCCCCCTGCTTTACCTATGGCACATTAGGCTGTGTCCGTTATGCTTGGGCAATGTGTCTTGTAGCTGCATGACAGGGTTGTTTGCATAGTTTTAGGAATAGGTTAGACAAGGAATGGTTTGATAGGGATGCTGCTGCCTTGAGCAAGGGTTGGCCTAGATCAGTGGTTCTCAACCTTTTTTGTACCAGGATCCATTTGTAAACATTGATGGCCAGTCCCAACTAAGTGCCCCTCACTCCTGACCTGCTGCCCCCCACCCCCAGGCTCCAGACCCCCAAAGGTGTGGGGCAGGGACTGGGCATGTGGGGCAAGGGGCACAAGGCCCCCCACAAGCAGCCCCTAGCAGGCTGGAACTCCGACAGCCTGCAAGGGAAAAGCCGTGGTTTCCCAAGTTTTTTTCTTTTAAAGGAGAATCCATTTTTAAAGTTTGTTCATGACCCTTTCATATATTGTTGAGACCCACTTTTGGGTCATGACCCACAGGTTGAGAAATGACGACCTAGATGACCTCTGGATGTCCCTTTGCTTTTCTTCAAGTCCCTCTCTCACAAGCTCCAGGTACCACTTACACCCCCTCTCTGCTCAGTACTCCTAAGGGTAGAAGGCTCCCAAGGACAACTGACTGCTTTACAAAAACAGACTTCAACACTCTGCGTGGAGTCCAGGCAGAAGCACTGCTCACCCTAGAAGACAGCGAATATAGAAAGTACAGTCATGTGGACACTGCAGCACTGTGACAGCCTGGGGACTTGCAACCACCACGGCTGACATGTAATCAAAACCCGCTGCATTTCTGCAAAGCTTCTCCTGAGCATCTTCCCTCCTTCCTGCCCCCCACCCCTGAGTGAGGATCTCAATTCACCTTGGGCAGGCTCTAAACTCACTTTCACTGGATTAGTTGCTTCAGTGAAACAAATGGCAACTGTTTGGGACTACTCTCAAGGGAACGCTATGAAGGCCTCTACTGGGGCCCAAGGGCTTTAGAAAAGCTGTCCTAGGGCCATGGCTATGACAGCTGTCCCAAAGCAAGAAAAGGCTTAAAACAAGGAGATGCTCTTCCATGGTGAAAATGCCTCCCACACCACACATTCACCATCACTTATTCCCTATGGCACTTCCAAAGCCCTAGGCAAAGGCAGAATCCAGATAACTGGGAACTCTTGAGAGGGATTATGCCCCCACCCTTCACTGTACTTTTCCTAAAATGCCATGTGACTGGATACCAATCCATTTGCTTGCTTCTCTCACACATGCCTGTGGCAAAGTAATGTTTTCAGTGCCATCCTGCTGGCAAGTCTTTGGGAATGTGGAACGTTGAGACATTAAGGAACTTCTACTCTACTTAACAGGGACACTTTGTTCCCACGCCTGGCAGCTAGTCTTGAGATTCAGCTGAACAGCCTCTATATCTCAGAGGATTAAATACTTAAGAGTAGTAGCCTGCAACACAGCAGAGAGCTGAGAAACAGGAAAGCTAGATGGCTTCCATATTAAAACTGCATGCAGACATGTATGCTATTGCAGTTACCCATGGAGCTGTGTCTTTAACAAGCATTTACACTACCAAACTCCACAGGCACTAGACACCAACCCTTTTTTACAGGTAAGAAGGACAACATACCCAGTCCCAGAAGCAATGGCTTGGTACAAAAGATAGCCCCCACTAACAAGGTAAGAAAAGGAAGCACTGAGACTCTTAATATGGATAAAGCAGCCAGGGAGCTGTCTGACTCCTACTCCATATACCACAAAACTTCCTAGCTGATAGTGGCATCTCCATTGCCTGAGGCTGGGTTTCCCCCAGCCTCAACTCAACATTTTGGATCTTCCCTCAGGAACAACACAAGGCTTGTTCTTACTCACTCCTTAAGTAAACAGCTCTGAGGCATAAATCAGCAGGAATTCCAAACTACCCAAGGGATTTTTTTTCCTGACTTGCTGATAAAGGCAGGTAGTTTTTGTTTGTTTTTGTTTGGTTGGGTTTTTTTGTTTGGTTTTGGGGGGGGTGCTGTTTTATGTAATATTCACCTGACATCCTGCTTTTCCAAGTGCTTTGCAAATTTGGGATGACAATGGGATGATATTACAATGGACTAGATTACCCGAGGTCACTTCCAGCTCTGTGATTACAGTCATTCCATATTACAGAGCAGGATGGTGAGACAAAAGAGGAAACATCGCTGAAGGCAAAATTAAAAAAAAAAGTGGCAGAGCCAAGAGCAGGAGAAGCTAAGCACTAAATTTTAAAGATGTAATTTGCAGAGAATAACATTGACTTCAGATAAATAAGGGAAAGGAAGAGTACAAAGAAGTCTTGACCTAGTTTACCTTCCTTCACAGCATCAGCTAGTAGCTTATTCCTAAAGTGGCTTTAAAGAAACCCCTCAGAATATAGGTTTAGCCATAGATTTCTTCTTGTTCTAACACACTGGGGAAGACACACCCTCATTTTACACGTATACATGCTCCATCTATAAAAAGAAAGAAATCCATATGATTTTATTCCTGGGAATTAGCCATGTTTCTGATCTGATCAACGGCTTTGACTGCATGTTCTCTACAGTGACTTGCTCATTTACAGGCAGTAAGTGCTGGCTCAGCTGTCCGGATTTAAACGAAAAAAGCCCTGGCCCCTTAAAGAAAAGCCTGTGGTAGGGAAGATTACTCAAGATACAGAGATACCAGCCAGGGTACAATTACAGCAAGAATGCAGAACGGTCACCTGATTTGGCAGGGACTGGGAACAGCAGGGAAAAGTCATGGAGAGGCAACACAGCTCTATGTTCAACCCACTAGCAGCAGGTTGCTGCTGATTTTAATTTGTTCTCACCCAGAAAAGGTGGCTGCGCTAGTGATCAGGACTCAGTGTATGGATGGTGTAGAATCAATGGCTTTCTGAATAACTTGAAGGAAATCATTTTGTCAGAACAAGGTGCCCAAATCCAAAGGGCAGGCAATCCTTGAAATTTCTGCCTACTCCTCTCAGTGCTGAAGTCTTCCCGAGTAAAAACCCCCAAGCAGGTATTGCTTCACCACGTGTCCACAGCTGCCTTACCCTTGATAGCACGAAGCAGCTCAGTGCTGCCTCACAATCAAATCCAACCAGGATCCTCAAACTAAGCATTTCTCTGCTCAGCTCCCATGAAACCTGACCTGGCAGACTACTCAAAGCACACACCAGCAAGACCAGAGGCCATGCAAAACAACAGCTGCTTTCATTTAGAAACACAGCCAGAGGAGAGGAGCTCCCACACACCAAAGCCCCAGGATCAGAGTATTTCTTGACAGGGTAGAAAATGCATGTTCAATTCCCTTCCCAGTCTGAAGGAGGGCAAACCCATAGCTTCCACCAGGTGACCAGCTCTTCTGGTGGGGACAACCAAATTCCTCTTTGGAAACTGTTGTCTTCTACTAAGTGACATTATAGATGCATTGGGTCAGGAAGAGGGAGAAAAAGTGAACACAACCCACTACGCTGGTAGTTAGGGCACATGCCCAGCTATGGGTAAGGCACAGAAGGAACTAAAACAGGGTACCGCATGCAGTGGACCAGTGCCCTAACCACAAGGAAAGAGCACAAGTTTCCCTCTTACTTGTACCAAGATGGAGGGGTGACCCCTACTCACATTTCAAGTGAAAGGCCCCAGGTCCAGGAGCCAGCTCTGGGCTTTGAATCCCAAGAGGGTGTAGATACATATTTCTCTGCAGCCAACAGTCAGGTGCTTACACAGCCAAGGGGCAGGGGTTCAGACACACTCCTCTCCAGTATTCTTTACAGAACAGCTTAGACAGCTCCCTACTCAGTGCACAGCCCGTCATCCAGTTCTGTGTGGCCGACTCCCCCACATACTGTACAGCAGGCCAAGACATCCAAATGGGGCAGTAAATTCCACTCCAGGAGCCAGACACCCAATTCCCTTTGTGACTCTAGCTCTTGATCTCTCTCTGCCTCAGGGCCCCATCTCTATAGACAAGATCAAGGACATCCTGTCACACTTTTAGCTTCTCTCACTCCTGCTTTCCAGTGATCTCCAACTATTCCCTTTTCCACCTTGTATTTTATCTCTGTTCTCTCCCTGACTTTGTTCCCCCTGCTCTCTTCCCCCTCCCTTCCCTGGATTACCTTCTGTCTTGCTTATCTCTACTTATTTACTTTTTCACTGACATCCCTCCACACTTTTAGCTTCTCTCATTCCTTGGAGTCTCAGATTAGACCAGCAGAGATTCCTTATGCCTGGCAAACGGTGACTGTGCCCGAAAGCTTATTAAGCACTTTTCCCCAGCTACTCAGTTGGTCTAATAAAAGATATCACACCCACCCAAAGAACCTTGCCTGCTTATGTCCTTAGACCAACATGGCTACAAACAAAAACCTAGATAAGATCAATGCATTCAAATCAGCAGGCCCTGAGGAACTTCACCTAGGAGAATTTAAGAGAGCTAGCTAAAGTAATCTCTGAATCATCAGTGATTATCTGGGAACTGGGAAAATTGGAGGACTAGAGAAGGGCAAACATAGAACCTAGCTTTAAAAAACAAGGGGAAAAAAGAGTTATAGATCAGTCTAACTTCAATACTCAGAAAACAACTGCTATAAGAGGTACTGTTTAATTTGCAACCACCTAGATGATAATAAGGATCTATGAAAAAGACAACATGGATTTGTCATGAATAAAGTGTCCAATTAACTTTGTTTCCTTTGAGAGGGTAACTGGCTAGAAAGAGGAAAACATTAGATGCAATATATTGACTCCAACAAGGTTTTGACACGGTCTGATTACATCAGCATATGGAAACTTGAGAACCATAATCTAGAGCAGTGGTTTTCAAACTCTGTGTGTCACATGCCCCTTTAATTTTTTTATGTTGTAGTGTACCCCTATAATTCTGTGTTATGGGGAATAAAAAGCCACATTTTATGGCACTACAAACATACTATAACTTCTCCCACAGCCTTGGGAACACTGCGGAGTTACTGGCCATTTTCAGTTCCTTTTCCTACAGTTCTATTTGCGCTTTACGTTCCAGTTTCTCATTCCTTCTTATCACATACCCACTAGACCTTGGCTGTATGTCCCCAGTGGTACATGCGTCCCAAGTTGAGAAACACTGTTCTAAATGAAACCACCATAATGGGAGCAAACAACTGTTTGAAAAGATGCATCCAAATGAGTAATTATCCTGGCTCACTGTCAAACTAGGAAGGCACTTCAAGTGCAGGAGGGCTCCCTCACATGGATTGGGATTGAGGCTGGGCCCAGGACTACTCAATACTCTCACTGAAGACCCGGGTGGTGGAGTTAAGAGAACAGTTCCAGAAGTCTGTGGCTGCCCAACAGGGATGGGTGGCAAGCCCTGAAGACAGGACTGGAATTCAAAACACTGTCAACATAGCCACAAACAAGACTGTGTTCAACAAAGACAAGTGCAAAATGTTCCTCTCAGAAAGGAGATGACAAATATGAAATGGAAGGTAATGCAGTAGACAGCACTACAGCAGAGATGGGTCTGGGTCACAAACCGAACAGGAATTAACATTGAGATGCTGGAGAAAGGGATGTGGAGGAGCCAGAAATCTCAATCTGGGATGCATTAAATAGGGGACTGAAGGCGCCACTCTCCTTGGCAGCAGCAAGGCCTTGGCTGGGATACTGGCTCTGCACTTTACGAAAGTTGAGAACAACCTGGAGGCCAAGCAGAGGGGACAAACCGATAAGATGTTTAGAAAAAGTGACCTCTGAGGAAAGGTCAAAGGAGCTGGGTTTGCTTAGTGAACTGTGCTGAGGGAAGACCCGATCTCTCTTCCAACCCTACCACCAAAGCTCTTTGCAAGGCCTCTCACGGCGGGGCCGGAAACCTTTCGTTAGCCCTACACCTGGGAGAGACGCAGCGAGCCGCGCCCGGGCAGGTCCGGTCCGCACCGGACAACATACCGGCAGCGCCTGCGGCGG